AAAAAAAAAAAAAAAAAAAAAAAAAAAGACCAAAACAACATGTCACCACCCACCACCCCGTGGAATAAATCAAATCTGCCTAAGAAACGAGAAGAGAAAAGACAGAGAAAATACTGCTCCTGGATCGCTGCAGTTTTCATCCTGAAACAAAAACACTCCTGGCTTCTACCTGCTAGGGGATCAGGCTCTTACCCTGCTCTCTCCTTCCCTCTTTTCCCCCCACCTTAGCATTCCTGTCTCCCAGGCTAGTGTTCCAAGGTCTGCGTGTGGCGGTCTGGCCGAAGCCGCGCTTACCTTGGGCCCGCTGAGCACCGGATCGCTCAAGACCCGGGAAAAGTCTGCGAGAGACGATCGCGGGGAGCGGGAGCAGGCGCGAGTCCGCGAGTCCGGGCGGGCGCAGGGGCGTCCTCGCTCTGCCTCTGTCTCGCTCACTCGGTCTGAGCCATCATGGACTCTGCTCCTTCGCTGAAGATTTCACACCCAAATTTGTTTCCCGATATCCAATCTGCAGCTATACAACAAAAGATTTCTCTTTACCAAGACAGTAGTAATACGTCCCAGGGCAAACCGGATGTGAAATAGGCGGTGACTTCATGCCAGAGAGATTTTATTTTAGAAAGGAAGGTGGTACCAGCCCTGGATCTGGAGACCAATCCGCCCATTTATTATATGCAGCACAATTTAACTTGCACCACTGTGGCCCTAATCTCCTTCTCTCTCGCTGCAGACTCAAATCCAACAATTTGCTGCGAGCATTGCCAGGCTGAGAGACATTCGGGGCTACACTGAGCATATTCTCACACTTGCAATTTCTGCACACCCTATTTTAAGGCGCACCCACTGAAGACACATCTGATCGGTGTGGCTGTCCCACCTTCGGTCAGACGTGTAACCCTGCGTACACAGGAGCGAGCCCAGGCTGTGGGGCAGGAGATGCAGGGTCACACGTGTGGCGAGCGCACGCTCCTGTCCCTCCCTCCCGGCACACACTCCCACACGTATGCCAAGGTCCCCGAGCCCTGCACAGTCACGAATGCTGAGCGACGGCGGGGAAGAGCTCGGGCTGGTAGCGAATTGGCCGCTGGGTTTAGAGCCCTTCGCACTTCCTCGGCTTGCGAGCGCTTTCCCCCCAACCTTAATTTGTAGCTTAGAGGACAAGAAGAACACGCTCCGGAACCGGGTGTTTATCTTCTGAGGTAACCGCGTCAGTTATCATGAAGAAAACACAGACACCTTCACCTCCAAATTGTGCCGGGTTCCTAGCGAGAAATACTTAACTTTGAATCATTCATTCCCATCCTTTCTAGGTTTGAGAGTCACATCTCCGTTTCCGGAATCGTTTCTTTGCCTTGAATTCCATCATTTCTCGGATTAGGAAAATGGGAGAGGGGGAGGAAGAATTTTTAGAAGCAGAACAAAGCCCATGTCCCCTTTTTCCACCCCTCTCTGCCCTCTCCTGTTAGCCTCCTTGGTAGCTCTCCACGCGTACATGATTATACACTCAGGGAAGAGGTGTGTGTGTGTTTCAACATCAGCCTAACTAAATTTTCAAGGAATCGGTCTGACTGTGGTTCCCTCCGCGGATTTTGTGAATGGCTCTTTGGAGCAGAGTGGCTGGGTCCTCCCTTCTGAGATTGCTGCTTTCACCCGAGGTCACGGGGAGCTGTCCTTTCAGCACTGTGATCCAGACTCGGTAGGAAGTTCTGGAAAAAAAAAAAAAAAAAAAAAGAGAGAAGGCCCCTGGTGATAACTTGTAGTGGGAAAGTCTCCCCGGGCCATTTCCCCAAGCAGACTTCAACCACAGGAGACGTTGGGGATTAGGGGTGCAGCATGGCTGAGAGAAGAAAAACCTAAATAGCCAGTGCACATCACTTCCGCGTTTCTGATTCTACAAGTGCCCTTTGGCCTTTGCTGAAACGAAGCAGTGCATGTTGGTTAAAATTATGTCAGAGGACTATACGAACAGGGGACACAAAAGTGAAGACTGCTGTTAAAATTGAGCTTAGTTTCCTTCCGTGTTTTGAGGTGAAGATTACTGGGAAATGATTCTGGACGTGAACTTTTGAAAGGGAAACATGAGGAGCATCTTAAGATGTTCTTGGTCTGGGAAGTAGTTAGTTGCTAACAGACGACAGAGCAAATGCCGGTGTACTCCCAAAGATAAACACTGAAAGATTGTTGTAACTTCCCTGTGTGGCATTACCCAACTTTTTTGTACTTCACTTATCCATTAATTAATTTATTTTAATACAACAATTTTGAGAAGAAAACTGACTGCAAAAAATGTTTTGAAACCCCGAACAATGAGAAACACTGTTTTGTTACCTCTCCACACAAAATACGATTCCAATCGTGACTATTTTTTTACCTCTCTCTACAAATTAAGTGAAACATGATGTCATACATGTAGTGTCACAACCAGATAACTCTTACTGGTTATGACTTTGCATACATGGTTCCTGAAACTTCATCAGTTAGAAAATAGACTCTGAAAGCCAGGCCAGTCATATCCTATGTACAGACTAAAAGTATTATGTGACTATGGCCACAGGATGCATTGGACAGCAGTCTCATATCTTTAAAAATAAGTATTAATGAATAATCTGGGAGCTACAGTATTTATATGAAATGCAAATGTCCTTTCAAAGCACTATTTGCAGGTAGGATTTATTAGATAATTGTTCATAGATGTCATATGGGAAATATAATGTATATATATCCACAATTTCCAACTATATATGCACACACACATGTATATACATATATATTACTTCAGACATCATGTTATAAAAATAAAACAGTTGCTTGAAGCACTGATAATTAGGTTATTCTGAAAACAATAACTGGTACTGTACACTGTAAACCATACATATTATTTCTCATCCAAGAAGTCCTTACCATATGCACCTATTAGCGGAGAATCAAATACAAGAAATTAATAGCAAGGAAATTATTTGTTTTTGTGTTGTTATATTGAATCTTCCAGATAATTGTTGACATTGTTGTTTCTTTCTTGCACTGAAGATAAATTCCTTCAAATATGTGTGATGAAAGAAGTTCTTAAAGTAATAATAACCAGAGTGTTTAATATTCTTAAATTGTTCACCTGGTTCGATTAGTGTTCTCACTCCTTTACATAATGCATTTGATTTAACTATATAAGTAAGCTTGTATGTGAAACAATCTTAATAACCCCATTGTACAAACCATTCAGTGAATGATGGATCAGAAGACTCACCCACGGTCACACATCTAGTAAGCATCCACACTAGAATGCAAACCCAAATCTTTTAATGTAAAAGCTTATTTTTGTATGTATGTATGTATTTATTTATTTATTTTGGTACTGGGGATTGAACTCAGGTCCTTGCGCTTGCAAGGCAGGACACCAAACCGCTGAGCTAAATCCCCGGTCCCTAAAAGCTTATTTTATTAACCAAACTTTCACATTATTGAGCCCCCTTAGAGTTCGTGAGCTCATATTAAAATCTTTTTCATTCACCATTTGTCCTACCTTTATCATTTTTAAATCAGTCATATAAGAGCTATCTCTAGATTTTTAAAAAGTTGTTTACTAATGGTAAGAGTCTTTCTCTGATGATCTAGAGACTCCAACCACCACCTTGTGTCAGGCTCAACTTAGTGTTTCCAAGGCTTCTGTTGTTTTCCTTCTATCTCATGAAGTCACTAGCCAAGATCTCCCTGAAAGTTACTAGTACTTGGCAGTAAGGATTTGAGGTCAAACTGCAGACCTGAGATCATGGGGAGGTCTCATAGCTCTATCTCCAGTGTTGCAGCCTGGTACATTTTGCGTTTTCTGTCAGTTTTAAATGGCTGGAAGCCCTGACCTAATTGAAGAAGTAGTGCTGATTTTACAAAACAGAACAATATTTTTACTTTCTCCAACTGACTGGAAACCAAATGCAGAAAAAAAAAAAATCTTGAGTGTTTCCATTTATTTAGTGTGGAATCTTCTCATTTACAAAACAATTTAAGGTGGAGAAAAAAAAATCAGTAGAAATAATAAAATATCAAATAAGCTTCTGCTGAAACCTAAAATAAAATGATCTTTTAAAATGTATTGGCATTGAACTGGGCATAGTGACTCATGCCTGTAATCCCAGGACTTGGGAGACTGAGGCAGGAAAATCACTACAAGTTTCAGGCTGACTTGGGCTGCATAGTGAGTTCAATACCAGCCTAAAATACAGAGGGAGACCCTGTTTCAAAAAAAAAAAATATATATATAATATATATATGTATATATATTGTCATGGCTCAGAAATACATACCATTAGTATATCTTAATGTTAGCATCATGTGAAACATAATTACCAATCTAAAAGAAGTGTAAAAGTAGCAGCTGAAATCCTATATATATTTATGTAAAAGTGTATATTTATATGAAATATTTTACTATACTCAGTAAAACAGCCCACTTTTAAAATTTCCCCATATATATTACAGACCATCTTTTGAAATGAACTATACTAGAATATCCAAAGAGATAGCTCTTATTATATAATTGATATTAAAATAATAGCTCAATTGGAAAAAGTAATATGATTTAATAAATACAATATTTTAAATAACTTAATGTAGACAGTTTTGTCGTTCAGGTCACTCAGATAAGTTATCCAGGTCTGAAAGCTAGTTTGACTTTTTCATGTACTGAAAGGAATGGCAAATGTTATATACAAAAATTTTAAAACTTTTTTTATATTTTAGTCATAAACATTCTTCACATTAGTCAGAAGTAGGGATCGCTTATCCAAATCACTGTGGCATAATGTAAAGATTATGTAATTTCCTTCCCTAATATTTGCAGAAGTAAAACCGAGGTTAGGGTGGCATGGTGAGTAATCATGCAAAGATATATTCCTAAAATTATTGACACTTAATAGCTGTATAGCCCATTGTACATTTGTGAACGTTTCTGAACTTGATTTTCCAGTGTTTTTTATGGGGAAATGATACCTCATATGTTAATTGTGGGATTACCTAAGAAAATAAGTGTTAATCACTTAACCCTTCAAAAGGTATTTCAAGAGTACCCATTTCCTTTTCTTTGCTTTACTTTAAATTTGTCATTTCCTAGAATTTTAGTTCATTGCTTGCATCGTGTTCATATAATTCATAATACTGATGCTGCTGTGCACAGTTTGTGTAAGATCTCACTGAAGCAGACGGTCCTGTGTTATCAGATGAGGTGTGAAGCCTCGAAATTCTGTATTTCCTTATTTAGTCCTAGGTCCATCTTCTTATTTTCAGGATGTCCTGAGAAAAAGACTAATTCTTACTGTGGCTGCCTTCCGTTGGGGGTTTGTCAGGTACCCACCATGGGGAGATTGAAAAGAGTGTGAGGCGGTGCAAGGCCAGCCAGGGATGCATCGGCCAGAGCCCGGTCTCTAGTCCACAGTGGGGGCCCTGGAGATGAACCAACAACACTTTTTTCTCCGTGAAATTTAAGACACCGACAACAAATACACAGTCGGACGCACATATGCTGGAGTCTATTTAATTTTTCTGTTAGCAGTTTCCAGTTTATCAGCGATTCATCTATAGCTCAGAGTTACTTAATTCCTTCAAAGACTTCTTTTCACAGATACTGAATCCCTCAACACAAGCGAGTAAATACAAATATATTCAGGATTTGGGGACGACTAAAAAGATTGTTTGTTTGTTTGCTTGTTTTTGTACCTGGGATCAAACTTGGGTCTCGCGCTTGAGAGGCCGGCAGCGGGGCCATTGGGCTAAATCCCCGGCTCAAGAATTTATTTATTTTAAAAAGTAGATAACAATAATTATACAAACTTATGAAGGCAGTTTTCTGACTGTGTAGATCCAACTTGTAACTTGAAGGTGAATAATGTAAGTCAGGAGAAAGGTAAGAAAATGAATATGCTGTTAAAATGTGCCAGCTGGGTGTGGTGGTGCATGCCTACAGTCCCAGCACTTGGGAGGCTG